TCCTAAGCATGAATCTCGACTTGATTCCTAAGCATGAATCTCGACTTCAGCCCTAAGCATGAATCTCGACTTCAGTCACTTTCCCATCGCCATGAGGTGGATTCCCTCTATCTTTTCTATAAACATTTTCATAGCTATTGTTCTAAAGAAAAATGAATTTAAGAGCACTATGGATTGGCGGATAGGTCTCATCGTCTTACTGTTGAAATTGCTAAATGTAACCGCCAGTTTTATTTTAATAGTTTCTTTTCTCGAACTACCCGCCTGTGGAACTCACTTTCGTTTTTTTTTGTTTTGCTTTTGCTTCTCTATCACCTACAATCTTCAATATTTAAATGAAACGTAAATCGCCATTTTCTCTCTTCCTGAAAACTGTTCTTTTCTTGTCCTTTCTCAATACTAAAGTAATCTCATTCTCTTTCAACCCAGTAACTACTTGCGTCTTAGTGGCATTATCGCCTTGCTTGATTAACAAAAACTATCCTTTTCAATCCCTGTTCTACGATCCGTTTATACACGCCCATTAGATAGGTGACTCGTTATTTCTCGATACTCCTCTTGTTTTCGGTATATAAGTCTTCTTTCCTCATTATATCGTCTCTTTCTGGTCCTAAGCACAAGTGTCCTTTTTGTTCCCATTTTCCTTAAATCTAACTCACTGTTCATATGCTTCTTCCGTCATATTCACAGCATCGATCTGTAGAACGACATCTCTGTTGTCTCAAGTTTTCAATTCATCTGAGGAAAATGGCCACCATTTACAAAAATATAGTAGGCATCCGTTTATCACGCGAGATAACGGTAACGCCTTGTTTGATAAAGATTCAGTCCTTTAGGTGGTGAAACTGTAGCGACTTCTCTAGGACTCAGGCCTGGAGATAGTATATGGAAGCCGTGCATTGCCCAGGCTACATGGCAACCACCATATCATGGCTGTACCGATATAATCCACAGGGCATTACATTCAGGGACGGCTGGCCGTAGGAGTTGCCGGAAATTTCAGTGTTGATAGCCAACCGCCTTCAGGGTTACACGCCGGATTTTCTGTCTGTATTTGTTTCCATAGCCTTTTCAGTGGTGGGATTTGAACGCAAGGCAGTGCAGGTTTAAAATCACCGTTTTTGTTCCCCTAGACGGACTGTCTTGCTGAGTTGTTGAGCTCTCTCTAACTGATGCAGGTGGTTATGAGGGGGCAGTTTTCCATCTTCTTCCATTCTCCGGCTTACATATCAGAAGCTATTAAGAGATGCGTGTCACAGAAGCGCTTTATAGACTGTGGGGGCATGTCCCCACAATCACCTCAAACAAAGCAATTTTAGGAATTGATTTTTCATTAATAATGCAAATAATGGTATCACCTAAAACAACGCTTAAGTAATATTCATAAAGTTTAAGCAACATATATATATATATATATATATATAAATATATATATATACATACACCAATATATGATATAATATTCAATATATAAGTAATATATATATATATATATATATATATATATATATATATATATATATATATAAAATATATAAAAGGAAGAGGTTATGGTAGTTACAACGTGAGAAAAGTGTGTATATTAAAAAGAAGAGAAACCGCATACGTTTTGGATGTAATGGATGTTTTTAAAAAAAATATGATGCTTTATTTTCCATTTTAAAAAAAAAAACATTCTCATTACAACTAAAAACGTTTCTTTTTAATATATATATATATATATATATATATATATATATATATATATATATATATATATATATATCATACCCTTTATCATTATCATAATAATAATATTAATATATATATATATATATATATATATATATATATATATCATTTTAATAATAATAATAATAATAATAATAATAATAATAAAATAGAATATATAGAATATATAGAAAAATATAATATATAAAGTTTTGCTTTGGTTTAGTAGACTTGTTCCTTTAACCGACTTCAAAGAAAAAAGAAAGTCACAAGCTGTTAAATCACGTCTCCTGGCTGGCTACTTATACATAAAATATGAATTTAATTTTCAACCACCATATATATATATATATATATGATAAATTACAGTTTTAAGGTATGCTATATTTATGGATTAATGTGCTCATTATCAAAAATATAGCGTATGTAATTATAAAATTGGACATTGAAATCAATACCTACAGGTGACAGTCTGTTTCATGCTTAAAGACAATCGTCAGTCTATCGATTGCGCTTATGCATAAAACAGAATGTCGTCTCTATTTGTTGACTTCAATTTTCATTTTTATATTTATATATGTTATAATCATTATAATTATTATTAATGTTCGCATATATATATATATATATATATATATATATATATATATATGTATGTATATATAATGAGTACAGACGATCCTTAAAAATCCATTCGGTTATAATTTATTTGATGAATATACAATTATTCTTCTCTTCAGACCGATTTTTTAAAAAAATAAATGGAGTCAGTTTATCATTAAAATTTCAAGATAAGGTTTTAATACAAATTTAGTGAGAGAAAGAGGGAGGAGGAAGAGAGCGGGGGAGAGAGAAGGATAGATTGAGAGAGGGTGGGAAAGAAAAGAAAGGGAATAAGGAAGAATTAAACATGAGCCGATAGGGTGACCTAGAAATGATTTTTTTCTTTATAAAAATCCATTCGGTTATAATTTAATTCATAACTTAGAATTACATCTACTAATCATCAATTGATATTACATATACATATATATATATATCTTTTTTGTCATGCTGCACCATGCTTTTAGTGATCTTGCCATGGGTGTAAAATTTGAATTCCGCACAAGTGGCGGCCTCTTTAACCATGAACGTTTGAAATCAAAATCGCTGGCTCGAGTAAGCATTATTCGTGATCTTTTGTTTGCTGATGACCCTGTGATCGTGGCCACCTCAATCGAAGAAGCCCAAGAACTCGCACAATCGTTTTTCTACCGCTACAACTTAAAGCAAAAAAAGTTCGTGGGATTTCATTGAAAACGAAAATCATTGTCTTTCGAGCAGTCATTCTCACCACACTTCTTTAAAGGCCAGAATCGTGGACGCCATACAGGACGCACATCAATCAACTTGAAGCTTTTCATAAACTTTGTCTTCGTTCAATATGCAGTTATACACGAAAGGACAAAATTTCTAACCCTGATCTTTTCATCAAATGTGGCATCGGTCGTATTGAATCCTTTCTGATGCAATCACAGTTCAGATGGGCTGGTCATGTCATCAGAATGAGAGATCATCGGATACCGAAAATCTTCACGTATAGCCAACTTTTTCATGGTAAGCGTATCGTAAACCGTCCTTGGTTACGCTTCAAGAATAAGCTTAAATACAATTTAATTGCTCCAAACATCCCTATAGAGGGGTTCAGACTCGCTGTTGAAAACCGAGGAAACTGGAGAAATACCTGCTAACTAACTTTGAAAAGAATCGTCGCAACCCTCTGAGAGAATTAAGAATGAACTCTAAATCTCGGGCTAATACATCAGCCCATATCACAGTCAGCCCTACAGTATGCCCTTCGTGTGGATTAGTTTACAAATCCCGTGCAGGATTGTTGTCTCATACGAAAGGTAAACATAAAACTGAACTAAAAGACACTCATACGTCGAAAACTACGGGTGAGTCCATTATCATATATAACAAGAATTAAGTTACCAAGTAGCTTTGAAAAACAATCCAACTAATAAATCCAAAAAAAGAAAAAGAAAGACAACATCGTTTTACCCACCTTTCTGTAAATTATCTAGTATTAATATTGGCAAATATTTCTTAAATTTGATAGACAACCATTTCAATAATAGCAAAAAAAAAAAAAAATTCTAAAAATTATTTACTCCTGTATTAGTAATATAGACAGTATAATTAGTTCACATAATAACATTCTATTAAATAAATTCCATTCCAGAAAAAAATATACGCCCTCCGACATATTTTTCTAACAAGATTTCTCGAATATTCAGGCTGGTAGATGGAAATAAATAAATATAATGTTTAATAAATAAATAAAAACAGGGCGTCTATGCAAATATGAATAACCATTAAAAACAACTTATCTTAGTTAGTTATCTATCTATCTATCTATCTATCTATCTATCTATCTATATATATATATATATATATATATATATATATATTCCGATTTCTTTTTTAATTTACAGGTCTGATGAATTGGATCGTGATTACGATTCCAATGTAATAAATTATTACTATGGAATATTAGTGTTTGAGCCTTTCATATTATATTATATTCTTGCTCTGCCCCCTCATTGAGCTCTCCCTGGATTTTATCCTCTTGGAAATATATATATATATATATATATATATATATATATATATATATATATATTATTATTATTATTATTATTAATATTTCAAATTTGCTATAGTCATGTGAGAAGTTTTCTCGGTATCAGAACAGATCGTTTGCAAAAACACGGCTGTGGTAAAAAACCATTGCTGCATATAAAATGGCTATACATATTCTTTTATGTGATTTGTCCTGTGTGGACATTATAGATCATAGTTTTCCGCGACTTATATTCTGCAGACCCTATTTCCTTATTTCACCTGAAAACTACGAACGGTTTAACACTCAAAAGATAATAGATTAAACTCGTAAGTACTTTTTTTCGCTGTTACTTTATATTCGTTAAAGTTTATCAAACTGTTAATGGGCAACAATAATTGATAATACACAGTATCCTAATAGCCTTACTTGCTAAGGTTTAAAATGGTTTGATTGTTTGTTAAGTCAATGGCAATCTCGAGGCAATCGTTTGTCTTTATATTGTGAATTAGCCGTCGAATGGCCGCGTCAGTTGATCAAGGTAGAAGATTAATTAAAGTTCTAATCCGAGCAAAGCATTTGGCATAAAGTAAGAGGACATAATTGGATAACGCCTTAGAAGGGCGCATGATGGAAAAGGAGCAGATGAAAATGAAGTTTGCCAAATTGAAAAGTGAATTTTCAAATGAAAGATCTGATTCTATCATATCTACCTCCAGGGATCTATCCATTCTCTCAATCTCTCTCTCGCTCTCTCTTTCTCTCTCTCTCTCTCTCTATCTATCTATCTATCTATCTATCTATCTATCTATCTATCTATCGTTCTGAGTCTTTTCATATCCATCTACGTGGGCTTGATTCTCTCTCTCTCTTTATCTATCTATCTATCTATCTATCTATCTATCTATCTATCTATCTTGGATCAGTTTATATCTGCCCGAATCTCTACATATCTTTCTATTTATCTATCGACCTCATTCTGTTCATATCTATCTATTTATCTATCGACCTCATTCTATTCATATCTATCTATCTATCTATCTATCTATCTATCTATCTATCTATCTATCTATCTATCTATCTATCTTGGATCAGTTTATATCTGCCCGAATCTCTACATATCTTTCTATTTATCTATCGACCTCATTCTTTTCATATCTATCTATTTATCTATCGACCTCATTCTGTTCATATCTATCTATCTATCTATCTATCTATCTATCTATCTATCTATCTATCTATCTATCTATCTATTACATATATATGGCCAGAAGATTTAAGCATGGAACAGACTGTTGTTGCTGGGCGTTGAATTGAATGTCCACTTTTATATTTCCATACCGTCTATCCCTGGTATTGAGCACTTTAACACATAAATATAGGATATCTTCAAACTATACTTTTTCCATACATACATACAGGCACACACATATACATATATATATATATATATATATATATATATATATATATATATGTGTGTGTGTGTGTGTGTGTGTGTGTGTAAGGCAAAATGGAAAAAGTTTGTTTGTGACGTGAACGTGATTCATTCGTAAGGACTTCATCGGACTGAATTTTTCAACACCAATAAACCCAGACTGGTGAAGTCTTAACGGATGAAACGCATTACAAATTAACTTTTTCTATTTTGTCTGTTCTTGATATATAAAATATATAACGTATATTTCATATATATATATATATATATATATATATATATATATATATATATAGTACATACACTTTTAAAATGATTTTTAAAAAATGAAATCGCATTCTCGAAGCTTTGTTTTAGCTTTAATTGAAAGCTAAATGATTATATTTACTATTTTCAGTGCCCAAAATACTGGTAAGCAAAAATGGCGTATTTCAAATAGAAATTATATTGATTAGAATCTCAAGTTTTTGCTCGCTTTCAGAAATCGTTTATATACACCCATTTTTGACAGATTTCTAAACAAAATTTAATTTTAATTTAATTCACGGTTTTAAAAATATTCCGAAATTAAAATATATTTTTCTGAAACTTTATTTGAAAAATATTAGCTGATTTGAAGTTTAATTCTGATTCGATAAAATATTATTTAAATTTAAAATAACCGAAATTAATTTTTAAAACAAACATTAGCACGATTAAGCGCTTTTCAACACCTCGTAAATCACTTGACGAAGTGCTGACACTTTTATGGTTGTACTAAGGTGACCTTATCTGTTAAAACATAATTTAAGAAAATGACTGGTGAAAGCATTTCTATATAATTTTTAAGTAATCAGTAATCTTAAAAATGTTGGAAAATGTTCTCTGTAATCTAATTTATGAACGTTGAATTTAGATTTATTATAGTCATCGCGCTTATTTTCTGATTATATAGTGTATGGTCAATCATACTTTCAAATGTATGCATAAAAAATTGAAATTTCTTTTGAAAAATATCGGGTTAAAATGACTTTTAATGAGCTTTTCAGTTTTCGATTCGTAAATGTAGTTTTCACTTAATGGTAATATTACATAACCGCCTTAAATAATGGAGAATTTTAAACGATTTAAATTATTTAATTTAAATTAAAAAAAAATAAAAGCAAATCTGGTAAAAATTAATTATTCATCGAAAAAATATGTTTTCGTAGACAATAGTGTCCTTAATAAATGTTATTTATAAATGCAATTAAAGCTTTTCTAATTAAATAATATCATAGTTTTATTGCATTTATTATTTTACAATTCCGAGTAGATTTTCGGTGAATGGGTTAACAATTTTACAAAAATAAATAAATAAATAAAATGATGATTTACATTCTCCAAGGAGTTCTGCTTTTAAATAATGAAAATCCCCGCTCTAAAGATTGAATTTCTCAAAATTTCGTGAAATTAAGTGGTTGGTAACATGCAAAAAAAAACAAAAACAAAAAAAAAAAACAAAAAAAAAAAAAACCATTACAGTAAAATCCGACAATTATTTGATTTTTGAAAGAATTTCTAAATCAATGTGTTTTTTCACTGGAAAATGCCACAAGAAAACTAATTGTAATTATTATGTCAATCGCAGTCGGAAACAAAACAAGATTTTTAACCAAAATTTCAAACGTGCCAGAAAGTATTAAAAAATAATCAAAAAATACGTCGATCTTTCCTCTTATGAATAACAGAAATATTTTGACGATAAAACTTTGTTTTTATTGAGTTTGTGGCCTTTTTCCGCGAAAAAGTAGAGGTACCTCTCTCTCTCTCTCTATATATATATATATATATATATATATATATATATATATATATATTCATTGACCATGTCCTTAAAAATTTACTACCCACTATTCCTAGTTACCTCAAAGATAAAATTTTCTTGCAAATTCTGCAACATAGAATTAGCGAACGATTCACTGCTTGTTACAAAGAATATGCTGACCCTATCCTCTCTCTTATGTAAAACGGCCATCACTTTTTCAGGTTAGAGATACAGCAAAGGAAACAAAAATGTTTCCCAGCTATGCGGACATATTTATTCCCTTCGAGTGACATGTATTTCGTAGTTACAACTACTTGCTCTTTTTGGAAGGCCATAAGTGTGTAGATCAGTTAATCTCATGGTTAGGATTCTATTCTCCAAAGCGATCAATGCTTTATTGTACAGTCCATCATTGTAAGAAACCTCAGTATCTGGTAACTGCACTTGTAATTGGTGTTTTTAATCTTCAGCTAAGGTCTCCATGTGTTTATCCCAAAGCCCTAATGGAACACTTATTTCACGACATTTAATGAGGATGGAAAGAAGACCTCTAAGGCTTCTTGCACTCTGAGATACAGCTACTTCTGCTAAAGTAGCATCCCATTGGGAAATCATCTTCCAGTAGACCACATTTGGAGCAAGCTTCTCTATTTCTCTATCCCATCGACTCTACGGATATCTTCAAACAGGTAGGACCTTTGACATCATGGAAGAGCATCCTGAGAAAGAAATATTCATGTTGGTTGGGATTTACATTCTACGCCCTTCCAAGAGCACTATCAACTGTTTCACTTCTTTTTCGTCTGTTTCAGCTGCCATTTTGCCAGGTGTAATATGATGGAAGCTTGATAAAAGATTGTTTTAGCAAAAGGATCTCTTGCATAAAGCTTGAAGTAAGTGAGGTCTCCCTAGGAGTTATCGTTTCTTGTGCTGCATTTACCCCAGAGAAATTAACTCTTAGTCCATTTTCTAAATAGATATCTAGTGGCTGAACTGCTGGGTATTGCTTATGAATGGAAAATTTAAGTGTCCTTCAAATTGCTTCATTGCTGATAATGTATCAGCTTTGGTGGTATTTGCTTATTTTGCTTGTTTGGTTTTGCTTATTTTAGCTCGCATTGTTTGTTTCTTGTAAAGCAAACTTTGCCGAATATGACTCTGTTGAAATATTTGCAGACATATTTAATTCACTTTACTGAGTTGCAGAACTTAACATTGATGTGGGTATCAAAGGTTTTCAAGAGTAGGGGACTGTATGGAATTATCCATCTGTTGTCAATTACTGCCTCAAATCCGCCATCATCTGACTTTCTTCTTCTACAAGAAGGATAATCATCTTCTCCCATTTTTGTTTCCTTCAAGAAAATTCTTGGATAATACTTGGTGCCATTTTTATCAACCATACAGGGAGAATTTCTGTTACTATTTCCACTGGAACCATAGACTATTTGAGTTTTTAACAGTAACATACAGATTTTTGTCTTTGGCAGTTTTGCAGATATATATTCTATCATCATCAACCATATCAAGATTTTAAAATTTGGAAGACCTCGTTTTTGCCACTTAAAAGTAAACATGTAGCATCTTACATCACCGAAAACTTTCCTCGTTGTAATAATTTCTATTAATTTAATCACTTTTAATCTGAAATCTCTTGTCCTGGTTCTTTGGCTTTTGTCCAGGGAGAAGTTCAGCATTAATTTTTGTGTAATTGGGATTACAGGTTGTTGTAGAGTAGTTTCACAGTGGAAGCTTGTATTTCACTAAGTCGGTCCTAAAATAGGTTCGACGTACAAAACGTTAGGAACTTGATATAATAGGTAATGACGCAGAGAAATCTAGTGGTGGTCGCTGATACTTTTAGTATCCGACTAACGGTCGTCCGACTTCAGACTGACTGACCAACTTACTGTGGATATTTAGTCCCCCCCCCACTGAGCGACTCAGCGACTGCTACTACTCCTACTTATTATAGGTGGGAGAGTCTATTAACTATAGAATGGGTGTGTTTCACTATAACACAGGTGAATGTTATCAATAAATGTGCACATGCAGAATGTCTAACGTATGTCGTTGCGTCTTGAGTTCTTTCATGCATATATCTTGGACTGCCAACAAAACTTGATGGAAGAATTACTGGTTGACCAATTTCACCGATGCCATCATCATTGTCAATGCCATCTCCAAGACGGATATATGATGATCATAAATCTGATTGGCGTGACTTTATGCATGCTAATCTTTCTCTCACCATCTTGGCATATATATCTACAACAATCTGGTGGAATAGGTTTTGGGCTCTGTGAAGGTGATTAAAAGAATTTTCTTGGATCATAAGGAAGAAAGCATAAAGGCATGAAACAGTCTTATTAGAGTTTCTTCTAGCTTGAGGAATTCCAAAATGATTCTCATCTTCACCGTTGACAAAAATCAGGGGGTATTGTAACGATGAGTCTCACATTCTTTTTAGTTTATTATCCTGACCTTCAAGAACAATATCATATTTCCCAAATTCTTCTTCTGTGATGATTCAACTTACTTCATTGCATTGAGATGTACTGAAACGTTGAGAATGCTCATTTGAGGGCCTTTTGTCAGCATCTATAACAATCTTACATTCAGGGGACGGTGACGATTGTAGAGGAAATTTAAAGTTTTTCACATAACTGTTCTTTTCATGAATCAGGTCTTGCAGCTTTTTGATTGTGTCAATGTTTATAACTCTAGTTGCGTCAACTGTCTTTTGAGTCGGTTGAACGAAATCAGACAAAGTAAAGTTGAAGTAATTTAGGTTCTTTCTTTCGTAGTAGTAATATAAATTCAATACGGTGATATACTCGAACTTTAATTGTAGGGATAAATCTTCTCTCACGAATAATCTTAGCACCTATTCTAGATCTGAATTTTTAAAAAATTCCTTTGAATCATTAGTAGCACTAGTGAAAAATTCCCTCAGCTGTTCTGGAGGATATTATAGACGCTTCTCCTCAGTAGGAGTAGATAGGTTCGCCTATTGTCCGGTTCACACTCCTCCGCGGGTTTTTTTGAATAGAAATAGAGTTTTATTCGTTTTATTCCTGTTTAAGATTGTGTTTCCGATTTCTTCTAAAGTCTACTTCCATTCTTTATTCCTAACGATGACCTGAACTCTGATATCTTATTTACTGATCTGTTTTTCCTCAATAGGAGTAGATAGGTTAGTCGATCGTCCGGTTCACACTCCTCCTCGCTCTTTTGAAAAGGAATATTGGTTTATCCTTTGTTTACTGTTTAGGGTTCGGTTTCCGGTTGCTTCTAAAGTCTTTTAATTCGATTTCACTCCCAGTAGCCTCTTGCATCTAAGTAGCATTATCGCCATGCGTGTGGTGAACTGATTTAAAAAAATGGTTTTGTTTTAAAACATAATAAGTTGGCAATAAATCACTACTGCTTTCTCCTAATCGTGTCCGGTAAACGGTAGTCAAGTCTAATATTTTAATGGTGGAAAAACGATACAATGAATTTAATCAAATAAACATTTCACCCATAATACTGGATCCTTTTGATTCCGTATGATTGATTGATTCGTTTTTACGGCCCATCAACCCTTTGCAGGTGATTTAAGACTAGCAGTAGAGCCCGGCGTTGCCCAGGGATGTAACAGTAAGAGATAGATCAAGTATCGACCATCATAAAGACTGAAAAATAAAATTGACAAAGATTATTGTTTAAGGTTGACGGACACGCATGTCTTAATTAGTTTTTTTTTTATTACGAATTGGTCAAACCCAAACTGAAACAAAAAGATTGTTTTCAATCGTTATGCGTCTACCGATTGAATAGAATTTTAATATAAACAATTGTCTTGTAAAGGGAATTTTTAAAGCATTCTGAATGTAAAAATAAAGAAAAAAGTGTGCAAGACAATAAGAAACACTACCTGCCAAAAAAAAAAAAAAACTGAAGTTTTGTTGAAATCGGTTGAAAAATGTAGGAAATCCGATCCCATATATAAACGAACACACAAACAAAAACAACCTGGGTTTTATAATAAGTATAAATCGATATGAGTACCCCCTTTCATTCTCGCGATGACTCTTAATTGTGTTTTCAAATTGATATCGAGCAAAAACAATTGTGTTTTTCCCATTTTTGGGCGCTGTCAGAACCACCGCAAGGTAATTTTACGTAGTCCTGTCAAGTTTTGTTGAAATCGGTTGAAAAATGTAGGAAATCCGATCCAATATATAAACGAACACGCCCACACACACACACACACACACACACACACACACACACACACACACACACACACACACACCCTGGGTTTTATAATAAGTATGATCAGAAAATATATTTAGATCGTAATATTTTGGGCGGGGGAGATAATAATAGTTTAGGGATAAATGTTTTACTAATTAACCCATAGCTGTGGAGAAAAGATGAATTCATGCCTTTCGCAAGGGTATTTGCGCGTAAGAGAATATAACGAACCCAACGGGAATTAGAACTGCAAGTTTGCAGCACCTGGTATTCCCAAGCGGTGACCCATCTATGTACATATAATTTGGCGTTGCAGGAACTTGTGTTTTAACGTCATATAATTACAAACTTTGTTGGATATGTCACAATCACCTTTTCCAAATCTTTTAAACAACAGCTGACGTGCGTGAGTTTTCACTACATCCGTATACATCACACAAATGTTTTCAAATGACCCCGTAGCAGAACTACCTTTTGGGAATTCACATCGTAAGCAAAGGCGGATACGTTGCTTTTTAAAGTCGTAATCCTCCTTGGGGTTAAATTCTTTTAAGAAAAAAAAATCAGACGCTCACAATAGACTCTTTATTTTAATCTATAGGAATAGATAGCCATTATCCATTACACCCCAGCACATCGAGAACTTCTTTCACGTGCCGTGTCCCTTCAGGACGGAGCCGATCATGGCCCTCCACATCTTCCTGTCCCTTGTAGCGCTTAATAAGCTTTGTCTCTTTGTTATTTCTCCCAAACTCTGTTCTGCCATCCATTTACTCATGTATGTTACGCGCAGCTTTCTTCTGTCCCACTTTCCCTCAATCTGTCCTGTGAGTATCAGGTTTTCCAAGCCTTCTTTCCTCATTATATGCCCAGAAATTTCATTTGCCTCTTCCTGGTGTTAAGTAGAAGTTTCTGTTTTGTTCCCATTCTCTCCAAAACCTCATTGTTGGTCACATGTACAGCACTTGGTATTTCCAAGCTGTCACCCATCTAGTACTGACCAGGCTGAACATTGCTTAAATTCGGTGTTCGTAGGGGAACCTGTATTTCGACGTGATGCAGCCGTAAGCCCTCATTTTCCACGGGTTGATGCAAAAAAAAGTTCTTCAAATGTGGTATTGTACAAATTATGTGCAAATTTCTAGGTTTTAGGCGGGGAGGGGGGACTAAACAAAATAGCTAAACGTCCCGATTTCAAAATAAATGTGTATTTATTCAGATAGACATATTAAAAATGTCTGAACAGATGCTGCAATATTCTTGATCAGTTTCCCACCCCAAACCTGAGGAAACAGAATTAATTTTGGAAAATCGTTTTGGTCGGGCTAAGAATTTTTCGGCACCCCCACGTACAAAGAATAATAAATAGGCTGACAAATTTTCGTCGGACAAAACTGAAAAAATTTCAATTTCTCTTAATTTCACTTTATATCTATATAAAATTATGTGACTTCCACTAGTCCGTCTGTCTGTCTCACGCTCTCAAATAGCCATGACCGATCGAAATCAAATTTTGGGGGACAAGTGTAAACAAGTAAGGGAGTACAAAGTACAGTTAATTTTACTAAGGTGTGTAGCTTAGTACAATAAGTTTTCATTCATTTTTTGGAAAAATTAAAAAATTTGATTATCTAACATACAAAATACTCCCACTATTTTAAAACAATTTAATGACTAAGATAACAAATCCTTATTTAATAAAAATGCAATATTGTTTTTTGCATATCTTTTCTTTAAATGTTTATATATACAAGAATCCAGTTTCCTGTTCGTTCTGTGTTTGCGAGAACTATAATAAATCACAAGGCCAAACACATCAAAAAGTCGGAATTTGTCGCTAGAAAGAAATATTTACGCATATCCAGTTGTATATTGCATGCTCAAGAGTAAGAAATCGTAACAAATTATTCTTCGCCGTTAAAAAGGAAAAAAAGAAAATTTCTTAAAAAATATTGTTTACCATGAAGTCCGATGAAATTAAATTAAACTAAAGAAATTATTAAACCGTGAAGTCGGTTTTTTGTCAAAGTATTTTTCCAAACGAATTAGCTTCTTCAAATTTCATCGATTACTTTGCGAAATTGAAAAAAATGTAGTTTGTAAATCTTGACAAAAAAAATGTTAGCAATAACTTCAACAATACGAACTGTGAGGATTTCATATTCTGTAATCATACTTTTTATAAAACCCACATTGTGTGTGTGTGTGTTCGTTTATATATTGGATCGGATTTCCTACATTTTTTAACCGATTTCAACAAAACTTTACAGGACGACGTAAAATTACCTTGCGGTAACCAAAATTTGGAAAAACACAATTGTTTTTGCGCGAAATCAATTTGAAAACACGATTAAGAGGCATCGCGATCGCGAGAATGAAAGGGGGACAACTCATATCGAATTATACTTTTATAAAACCCAGGTGGTGTGTGTGTGTGTGTGTGTGTGTGTGTGTGTGTTCGTTTATATATGGGATCGGATTTCCTACATTTTTCAACCGATTTCAACAAAACTTCACTTTTTTTTGGCAGGTAGTGTTTCTTATTGTCTTGCACACTTTTCTCTTTATTTTTACATTCAGAATGCTTTAAAAATTCCATTTACAAGACAATTGTTTATATTAAAATTCTATTCAATCGGTAGACTCATAACGATTGAAAACAATGTTTTTGTTTGAGTTTGGGTTTGACCAATTCGTAATAAAAAAAGAAAACTCATTAAGACATGCATGTCCGTCAACCTTAAACAATAATCTTTGTCAATTTTATTTTTCAGTCTTTATGATGGTCGATACTTGATCTATCTCTTACTGTTACATCCACGGGCAACGCCGGGCTCTACTGCTAGTTATTAATACAATCATTTTTATTTGGATTCTGAAGAATGAAGCATTGCAAACTCCAAGGTGATCAACTCACAATAAGTTATGTGAACTTTTTAATTTTAATATATTGAGCACTTTATTAACAAAAATGTTTTTTCTTGACATACTTTACATTATATAATTTTACAGATATCAATAGATGTTTAGTTAGAGTATATAAGTGTTTATAAAATAAAATATATATTCTGAAAATAATTAAAAAAGAAAAGAAAACTCAACACTTGAACTTTGAGATTTGAAATCTAGAACGTTGCATAAACATTAAAAAGAAACAGTTGAAATGTTTTTTTTTACAGAAACATACATACTCACAGACAACTTAACCCCATGGAGATGGTTCCAGATGAGATAGAAAATACTTAGGAAAAACCTAATTATTTGAAAGAAAATTTTGGTATTTTTCTTAATCAATTTTCTGAAAATAATTAATACAATCATTCTTATCTGTGTTCTGAAGAGTGAAGAAATACAAAATGATAAGCATTATGAACTTAAACAATACCAAATACTGTGAGGATTTCCACACGTATCCGTGTGTTGCCAAAAAATTGTAGTAAAAATAACAATTATAAATAATACAGTGCCGTTCTTTTTCTTTTCTTTATTTCTTTTTTAATTTATTTTCTCTTTCTTTCTTTCTTTTCTACTTCTTTAGTATTTAGTATTGCTTTGGCAATGGTTGCGAGACTCATTCTTCAAACGTGACTCATTGGGCTTGATTTGTGGTCTGACCTGTCCAGTTTGATGTTTGGCTCCTAGTGACCTTCGAGGTGACGCAAATAGGTCTGTACTACCTCCACTTCCACGAAATCAGCTCAGCTGACAAGAAAAGACAGATTTCTACGGCGTAACAAACCACAAACCAGGGAGACCAGTTTTACACTTACACGATAAAATATCGCATATACAAAATACATCTGCAACACACATTATCACTTAGATAAATAGGGGTTATGGCAAAAATTAAAAAAAAAAAACTTTAAATATTAGTGTTTTTCTACAAAAGTTCACAAAAGTACAAACCACGAGAGTCACTCAAGGTAGAGTGTTATTGTTATGATGAATGAGGTGTGTGACATGAATAATAGAGAAGCTGGTAAGAAGTGAAGATTATGTGGATAAGGGGGGGGGTAGATAACAACTGACCCATGACTAGAATAGGTTAAGATAACCTCTTCATTTTCAAATAATTACGATTGTTATGACATCAGAATAGTGATAATGAGAACTTGTGACGTAGAAATGGGTTACACTCACATGAAATACATATCGGGATACCCCCCCCACATACACATTTACATAAATACACAGTGACACAAAACAAACACACGCACACACACACATATATATATATATATATATATATATATATATATATATATAAATTGAATTTTAAGGTGTGCTATATTTATGGGATAAAGCATCTCAGGTATCAGTGATAGAGCGTATGTAAATATAAAAGTTAACATTGAAGTCAACACGCAGAGGTGACAGACTGTTTCATGCTAGACACAATCGTCAGGCCTGATTGCCTTTATCATGAAACAGTTTGTCGCCTATGAGTGTTGACTTCAATGTTCAATTATATATATATATATATATATATATATATATATATATATATTCATACACGTTTCATGAAATAATATAGACAAGTGTTGTCTATTTATTTTATGTAAATTTTTTCGTAACGTCTGATAAGTTTAATAACATTATCGTTGAACGAAGAAATATATATATATATATATATATATATATATATATATATATATATATATATATATCTTACTTATTATAAAACGCAGATTGTGTGTGCGTGTCTGTACATTTATATATTGATCGGATTTCCTACATTTTTCAACCGATTTCAACAAAACGTCACAGGACTACGTAAAATTACCTTGCGGTGGTTCTGACAGCGCCAAAATTGGGAAAAACACAATTGTTTTTGCATGAAATCAATTTGAAAACACGATTAAGAGGCATTAATGAAAGGGGGACAACTCATATCAAGTTATACTTATTAATATCGAGTTATCGAATTATACTTATTATAAAACCCAGGTTGGTTGTGTGTGTGTGTGTGTTCATTTATATATGGGATCGGATTTCCACCATTTTTCAACCGATTTCAACAAAACTTCACTTTGTTTTTGGCAGGTAGTGTTTCTTATTGTCTTGTACACTTTTTCTTTATTTTTACATCCAGAATGCTTTAAAAATTCCATTTACAAGACAATTGTTTATATTAAAATTCTATTCAATCGGTAGAGACTCATAACGATTGAAAACAATGTTTTTGTTTGAGTTTGGTTTGACCAATTCGTAAAAAAAAAAAAAAAAAACTAATTATGACATGCGTGTCCGTCAACCTTAAACAATAATCTTTGTCAATTTTATTTTTCAGTCTTTATGATGGTCGATACTTGATCTATCTCTTACTGTTACTTCCTCGGGCAACGCGCCGGGCTACTATATATATATATATATATATATATATATATATATATATATATATATATATATGACATGCCGTCTATGTTGGCAAGATAGGCAGTGCCTACCATGAATAAAATAGATCAGCCGCTACATATTTTATTTTTTAGTAGAATTACTACACAAAGATCACAAGCTCAGTATATACTGACTGCACGTGCCTGATATATATATATAAGACAATTGTAAAACTGTAGTTTCAACCGACACGTTTCGGCCAGTGTGGACTTTTTCAAGGTATAAAACGAAATGAATTTATTAAAACAAAGTATCTATACAGAACAAACAAAATGTCGTTAGCAAATAGAGGAATTTAGAAACGCTATTGTATATTCATATGGTCAACTGAAAAATGACGTCAATTACTTTATGTTTGACGAGAATATTTTCAGATGTAGAAATATTGGTTTGTATTGTTGTGTTGACGGATTCAACCGTTTTCTTTTGATTTTTTGATATATTTGTTGTGTACGTTGGCTTGGGTGTGTAGTGATTCTGTTAGGAAAGGTCATATTGGCAAAAACAATGTCCGTGTTTTGCAAAACAAACTCAGTACACTCACTAACAATAGCAAATGGTCCAGGGTTGGCAGAAGAGACCTAATATCAAACTTATCCAAATTCCAACTATCGGATACACAATTAGAAGCCCTCAACTTTGGTCAGAAATTGGTCACCAAAATTCAA